CAGAATTTTAGTTTTTTAAATTACTGTAGCTTTACATGCGGAATTACAGCCCAGATGACCTCTCATTGAGAGGGTGCTCGCTAAAGAGCCATTTGAGCAGAGCTGAGCTCCAGCGAGGGGGAGCATGAGCTCTCGCTCCTCCTCCTGTAAGCCTTTTTAATGCGTACACCAACGCCACCCCTAACCCTACCCCCAGTGACATCATTCGTAGAAGAAGTGCAAAAAAGGTGGAGCTCAAGCTCAAGCTCCCCCTCACTGGAGCTCAGCTCGCCCAAATGGCTCTGCAGCGAGCACCACTTGCTATAATTGGAATCACTTTCAGAAGAAATTCTTTTTAAGCTCACAAGTAGACAGCAAATCAGAATCCATTTTGCATTTACTGCAAAAGCCATCACAACCGAGCGTAGACACCTTTATAATATTAAGAATGTAATTGTTCTTTGTTGTGGACTTTAAAGGGCCATGAACCCCGTTTTAGCACGGTGTTTTCACATCTGTAGTTTGGAAAAAGTCAGGAAAGCGGGTGTGTCTAGCTCTGTTTAGGGGGGAGTGTCGGGGGAGGGAAAAGGGAAAAGATTTGAATAAAAATGGGAGTTTCCATTTGGGCACGTGCTGATTTTCACAGAGGCAAAACAAACACACACGCAGGGGAGAAAAAGTGATTGTGTTTAATGATGGTGGAATGTTTAATACTGCACGTCGTATAAGAAAAAAAAAACTCTGCATTTCTCGGTAACTCAGATGCACCTTGTAGGTCAGAAAGCCGTGTGTGTGTAGACTATCCTGTCACAATATGCGGCGAAAATTAAACACGACGGTCGGTAATGGTTTGCTTGCAGTGTTTACGTTTACACTCGGAGAGCAGCATTTACAGCAGATCTTTCAGCCCATAATATGTCTGTCTTTTAACACTGAAAGACTACTGCTGACCATACCAACTATAACTTTGCCATCTGAATGAACAAAGAAAGGGCACTGATCGCACACACTTACCAAATCTGTAGAGACAGGACAATCAACACATACTGGAGCTGCGTCTTTATTAAAAGGAGATGAGCAGCAAATTTCACAATTTCTCTCTCGAGTAAAAAATGTTCCGTACAAATGTATTTCTGCCACATGTCATGTGCACTGATCCACACGTGAGTACAGTTGCGCTCTCATGGAGGGAAAATGAAAACAAAACCTTCGTTGCAGCACATTATAAAAGCAACACTGATGACCTGTATCTCCAAACAATTCTTATTCTTTTCCCACTTCTTTTGGCAACACAACGTGTCGTCTCTCTGCCGTCTGAACACTGTTTCAGGTACAAACAGTCTTCGAAGCTATCATGCATATTAATGAAGTTGCACCGCATACACAATAGAGCATGCTGATTGGTTAGACCCAAGTCTTACTCATGAATGAATGCTGCACACTCATGCAGCACAGAGACGTAATAAGGCACTCCCAGGTACAGACGTCCAGTCTACAAGCTGGACTACACGCTAAGATCTCATGGCCGTGACACGGCTTCAAAAATGTATTTCAAACCGGAAGTATGAATATGCTCGAAATAACATAACAACCAACTTTCACTTTTTAGTGAAATATATGTGTCTTAATAGTGTTTTTACTGTTAAGAGTAACGTACACAAAAAGGAGTGACTTTGTTCTAAATGTTTTTTTAAGTTCCTGAAATTTAGTTAAGTCATAACCAGTTTTAGAGAGCGAGTTACTTTACTCTTTCCTGTCTGAATGCAATCGCAGTTGGCAGTCTGTCACACTATCAGTTCAAAACATTAGACAAGACCCAAGATACTAGTGTTTGCTATGCTGTCCTTGTGACAAGGCTGTGGGATTGCGCTGACAGTGCATAAGGGAGACAATATAGGTTTACTTTACATTGCATTATTTATCTGTGCGACAGATCCGCTTCTCTTGGGAAAAGATTCTTTGCTTTTGACTTTCAAGTGCAAATGAGACCATGTATGATTTATAAAATGGCAACAGTTGCAGGAGTGATAGAAGGCTCGGTTTGGTAGCATGTTTCATTTAAAACTGGATCTCTGTGTAACATTACTGTCCCAGTTAATGGTTCGCACACCCGGTTATTTTTTTATTGTTGTAATGAAACTTAAAGCACTGGCTTGATAGATTGTTTGTAGACTGATTTAAAAATTAAAGACTTAGGAAATTTTCCACATGAAAATCTAAAGAAATTGGTTCTTACATGTTATAGAAACTGTTAAAATGTGTATATATAAAAAATGTTTTGTGTTCTTCTGTGCAATTTAAATGCACAATAGTAAATTTGATACTTATTTTATACAGCTTTCTAGTGAATGATAGTGATTACATTAAGTGATGATGTTAGGCACAGTATTGTCAGTTGTTACTGTTTTTGCTCTGTTTCTGCAATGGGGATATTTCCAAACAGAGTAAAATATTACTGTGTTAGAGATGGTCTATTGTATAATACCAACTCTTAAGCTCCTAAACTCCACTTTCACCACCTATAGTTAAAGGTTAGTTCACTATTAAATTCACTATTACTGTGCTTTCACACAGAAAGCAGCAAGAGCAAATTAGTCAAAGCAGCCGGAAGTCATTTATTTTTAATGGGAGAAGGTGGTGCGGAGTGGCGTGGAGTGTCGCGGTACGGCAGGTCTTCGCCGGTCGAGGAAAGTTAAAATAAAGTCAACTTTATGGTAATGAGCTATGACGTGGTTCAGCCACTGCTTGAGAGGTGTCCAGAGAACACAGTCACTGTGAACTTTAGTTCTGACCACAGTTGTCCCAAGGGTTTGATTATTGTGATCGCCCAATTTCCAATTATTTATGATATTTTTTACAGGAACATACATTAAAAAAGCTACTGGCTAGTTACTGATGTGTATTTATGTTTTTTTTCTTCTTCTTTAAAAAAGCGGGAATCTCATGCAACAATACAAAACAGTATTGCTGCTTAAAAAAAATTTCAGAGATATAGACATATTGGAGCAAAGCCACACCACAAGCAACAACTTGGTCTTCCATTGTTGAATCAATTTGATAAAAAGTGTGCAACATTTTTACGCCACAAAGCATTTTTTTTTTGTGGGAATGTAACTGATTTGCTGATATGCTGCAACGACCCCTTTAAATAGGAGATCAATGTAATGAATTTTGATGCTCTCGCCGCCGGAGCTGTGAAGGCAGACAGCGTTGTCACCAGAGCGGCCACAGCTCACTTTGATGCTCTCGCTGCCTTTGGTGTAATCGCACAGTTAGACTTTTTGCAACATTTTACAGTTATTTTCTGCAAAAGGGGCCAGCTAAATACCACATACATTATTTACAGTTCAGTACTGTAATGTGCACTGCATTGTGGGTCATTTATTAAAACTGTTACTGTAACTTACTGCATATTAGAAATTTGTGGTATTCTACTGTAATCAAGTTCTGCTACTGTAGTTAAAGACAAAAATGAGTCAGTCATTTGTTTGGGATTTACTAAATTCAATAGTAAATATTAAAAATAAGGGTTTTGTACTACTAGTGTAAAATGTAAGTAAATTGGAGTAAAACAACTGTAAAAATTGTCATACTATGAAATTAAAATGTTGTAAGGGGCATTTTACCATAAAAAGAAGTTGCGGTAAGACAATTTTACTGTACAAATTACATTGCAGAAGGATCCTGCTACTATAAAACACATTTACAGGTAAGTTACTGTAAAGGGGCAGTTGCAGTAACTTTCTGGCCACAGTGCTGCTAGTAACTAATTGCAAAACTACAATAAAATGTGAACTTACTCTCATGTTGTTTCAGTCCCCTGAGACTCTGTTTATCATTGGAACACAAATTAAGGGATTTTAGATGAAATTCAAGAGCTTTCTTATCCTCATCTTAGCTACAGCAACAATCCTGAGAGCTTCAAAGTAAAAAAAGAACCTAAAAGTTTGTTAACTTTTTTTGGAGGCTTCAGTGGTTCAACTGTGATCATATGAAGCTCCAAGAACACGTTTGTGCACCAAAGACACATTGCTGTCTATAGAGGATGAGGGAACTCTCGAATTTTATCTAAAGGATCTTAATTTGTGTTCAGAAGATGAATGAAGGTCTCTGTATTGGAACAAGATGAGAATTAGTATATAAAAAAACCTTTAAACAGTGTTTTATAGCAGAAAATGTGAATGATAAATATCTTTAAGATGCCATTATGAATTGAGTAACTGAACTGTGTTGAGGAATATTAAAAATTCTTCACTAACAAGTTCAGTTTGTTAAAAATTGGGGAAAAAAGGGAAACGTGCAATCTGTCAAAATATTGACAATTGAAAATATGCAGCCAAAACCAAAAATGTATGTCCAAAAACGTATACGCTAGCGTGGCAATCCAACTAGGAACAACCACTAGCAACCAACTAGACCTTGTCACCCCTAGTGATTGTATCACTGTCAGTGTAAACACCTTTTTATATGCAAGTCATACTATCTTTTTCCCAGAACATAAACAAAGGACACCATCTCAGAGGGAGCTATTTGTTGAGGTTGTTGTGAAGATGGTAATAACAGGGAGGTACCGTGGTGTGTAAAGGCCCCTTGGTGACGCTCAACTAGATTTGCAGTTGTGTGATTCTCAGGAGCTACAGGAAAAGGCTGGTTATCATTTACAAGTACAGAGAAAGGATAATGCCGGTCCTGCATAGAAGATGTCCGAATGTCATTTGGTTTTTTTGTTAGTGTCTAGTCATGATACCAAGGTGTTGCAGGTTTCTGTCAAATAATGTTATTGATTGTGCTGGTAAGTTCCCAAGAGGATTGATGTTTCATAACCTGTTAATGTAATCAGAAATCTAGCTTTTTAAATGTAGATAATCTGAATTATTGTCTTGACTGTAAAGGAGCAACAGCTATTTAATGATAGAAATCAAGCTGTTGTTGTGAAGGACCCATAATTTGTGTTGGGCTATGTGCTTGATGATATTCCTTTCTTCTGTGGTTGATTGTAACACTTTTTTTACTTGCTTTAGGTGAAACTGTTGAGGAGCAGCGACAGAAGATTCAGTCCATGAACATTGAGCAGCCTGCAACAAACGTAATAGTGCAACCCTCTAAGGTAAGTTTTGTTTTATTCGGGGTGGCTTGATGACTGGCAAGGACGGGAGGTCTTTCTGTGTGGAGATTGCATGTTCTCCTGTTGTCTCGAGTACTCTGGTTTCATCCCACTGCCGAAAGACATGCATGTTAGATCAATTGAAGATCCTAAATTGTCCTAACTTGTGTGCAAGAAAGACTTGTGTATGAGTGCTTCTTGTCATGAATATAGCCATAAATGCTGGCATGGCATTAAAATAAATTGCTAAATTATCTTTATCGATGAGTGATGCATGATTTCAGTCACTGCCTGATAGAACTACAGCAAACTTCAAACATTTAGATAAACATCAGTATAGTAGCTTTGGTGATTGCTTAATTATACCCATAATAATAAAAAAAAAAATAGGGGATTTTTTTTCCCGCACCAAGATAGTTATTGGAACTAGCCACAAGCCTGGTTCACTGAGAACTAATTAGCCCAATACATTTAACTGGTTGTATTTGCACCATCAGTACAAGCTTGAAGTGACATCAAGTGCTCTATTCAACAAAATAAACTACTGAAGAATGAAGCGCATTTTGATTGTGTTTGGTGTTTTTTATAGCAAGTATTCACACAGTCAGCATTTACGTACCTCACTGTAGTTCCTATTGTGCACAATTAGATCCTGTTCTGAAGTAGGATCTAATTTAATTATCTTAAATGGCATCCCTGCAACTACAATCTTTCCCAGTTTCTGTAGCTCGAAGATGCCTGAAAGCAAGTACTTTGTTTAATAGTTCTAAGAACTGTGCAATATGTTCTTCAGATGCTAAAGCTGACGCAATGAAATGTCATAATTCATTAATAATTCTCTTCTCCAGTAGATGGTTAAGGTATTATGCCGTTTTGAACCAAACCAGGAAATGAGTTAATTTGGAGTTGTTTTTAGGAGTATAAACACCTTTAAACTAGCATTAACACTGATTGCTGCCTTATTTTATAAATGTAGTGCAACTCTAATTTAAAACAAAACTGTTTTATCATGTTTAATACCTTAAGTCTGTCTGCTTTAAACCAGTTTTCTTTATAAAGAGCTCTATAAATGTGTGACCTGAAATAAAATTATGTAAAATCAGTCAACTGAGACAATCCCCTTTTCATTTTCTTTGATGCATTCAAATTTATAAACGCATTCTCTTATTGAATGATTCAATGTGACTGTTAATTTGAATTTAGCAATTTATTTTTTAAAAGCTAATTATTTAAACTCAAAAGTAAATCAAATATTACAGTGCTTCCCACACATAGACTTTACTTGGGCGGGCCGCCAGGTATATTAACGGCTGCCCAAGTATACTTAGTGACACTTTTTTCTTTTCTATTATTAACATCCTTTAACGCTTTTTTTGTATCCGCCCAGTATAACCAAACATCCACAATCGATTAGGTAGTGGAAAATCCTCTCTCGTTTACCCGTTTCATTCTGTGTGCTTTAGACCTGTCAGCACTTCACAGACAGTCACACTTGCTTTGCAGACCCACAGAGACGTGCCTTTTTGGAAATTAAAAAGTTTGTCCTGCCCGGGTTTCTAAATATTGTAAAATGTCTGGGATTCAGCTTTCTAAAGCTCGTATGTGTTTTTGCATTACTCTTTTATAAAAGACTTGCTTCACAGTTGACAGGGGGCGCACAGCCGCGAGACTAAGAGAAAAAATAAATAATAAATCCTTTAATCTAGAAAAACTTTGACTGGTCTGAACTGACTGCAAAATATATGTATACCATTAGCAATGGTTCATCAAGCATTTACCTTATTTAAATAATAAAGTTTTAATCTTGTAATTATTATGTTTTTTAGAGATATTGCCTGTTTTATTCCTTTTTCTGTCCTTTTTCTGTTTCTGATGATTTTATTAATTTGATGATGTCAATATATTACATTCATTCATTCATTCATTTTCTTTTTCGGCTTAGTCATTTTTATTAATCTGGGGTCACCACAGCGGAATGAACTGCCAACTAATTCAGCATATGTTTTAAGCAACGGATGCCCTTCCAGCTGCAACCCATCACTGGGAAACATCCATACACTCTCATACACTACGGACAATTTAGCTTACCCAATTCACCTATAACACATGTCTTTGGACTTGTGGGGGAAACCGGAGCACCTGGAGGAAACCCATGCAAACACCGGGAGAACATGCAAACTCCACACAGAAATTCCAGCAGACCCAGCTGTGAGGCGATCATGCTACCTGCTGCACCACCGTGACGCCCCAACAGAAATAGTGATTTTTTTTTTTAATTATTTCAACATTCTTGTTTTTTACTTTAACCCATTTAAAAGAAAAAGTGTAAAAGAGTGTCATAATGAATAAAAGTATAGTTAAAAATTTAGTTGTGTTCTGTTTTGGCCCATATAGTTAACTATTTATGTGATGTGGGTAAATGATGTGTTTCAATCCTGTTACCACTGCAAGTATATTTCAAACCTGTGAGAAGCATTGTATTATTACTTATAATACTATTATGTCATTTGCGTTATTTGTAATGCATTACCCCCAACACTGTTTACTATAGTATATCAGAGCTCTGGTATTTAGAGCTTCTTTTTACCCATAAAATAGGACAAAACAAAATTTTTTTGCAGTCACACACGACACAAGAAATGTAGTGCATAGAATGTCATAACCATATAGACACATTTCCTAAAATTTTGTGAAAAAACGATTAGCAAAATCTGGAATTTCATTCGAAGATGAAAAACCTGGAACAGGTTTGATTGGTGAATTTATTCACATTGACCAACAAAAAGCTGCATAGTTTGGCAGTGACTGTTGTGTAAACTTTGGATTACACATTGATCAATAATGGACTTTTCTGTTGGCAAAATCTCACTATGTGATCACACCTTACGGTACTTTCTTTTGTTTAGTCATTTTCAGACTCAACAAATGTATCAGTAGAAATAGGTTGAATAAGATAATAGGTATAGTTGAAGTCAGAATTATTAGCCCCTCTTTGAATGTTTTTTTCTTTTTTAAATATTTCCCAAATGATGTTTAACAGAGCAAGGAAATTTTCACAGTATGTCTGATAAAATTTTTTCTTCTGGAGAAAGTCTTGTTTGTTTTATTTTAGCTGGAATAAAAGTTTTAAATTTTATAAAAGCCATTTTAAGGTCAAAATTATTAGTTCCTTAAAGCTATATTTTTTTCTACAGAAAAAAAGTATCTAATAAAATATTATTTACTGTCATCATGGCAAAGATAAAATAAATCAGTTATTAGAAAGGAGTTATTAAAACTATTATGTTTAGAAATGTGTTGAAAAAAAAAATCTCTCCGTTAAACAGAAATTGGGGGAAAAAATAAACAGGGCTAATAATTTAGGGGGGCTAATAATTCTGACTTCAACTGTATGTTGACATTAAAACTTTTCATTTAAGGATCACATTGCAGTCCCATAACACTAATAAATTATCCTCTTTGCCATTATTCTTAAGAAACAATTTTTTTACTCTTCTGCCATTAAAAGTCAATAATTCAATAGTTTTTTTAATGTATAATTTTTTATAAAAATAATTTTTATATAGTTGTTTTACTTGCGTTAGTTGAGTAAGTACAGATCAGAATAACTAGTTTAATTTTTGCTTAAGCTTATTGGAAACGCCGAATGATAATGGAATATTACTTTACATTTTTAAATACTTTAAAGGTTTTTTTTTTTTTTTTTTTGCATTTGATAAGCTATTCACGTTTCTGCGTACATACAATTTAATTTAATACAGACATCAAATGGCATGTCTTGCCTTAGACCAGGGGTCACCAATCTCGGTCCTGGAGGTCCGGTATCCCTTCAGGGTTTAGCTCCAACTTCCTCAACACACCTGCTTGGGTGTTTCAAGTATACCTAGTAAGACCTTGATTAGCTTGATCAGGTGTGTTTAATTAGGGTTGGAGCTAAAATCTACTGGACTTTGGCCCTCCAGGAACAAGTTTGGTGACCCCTGCCTTAGACCAAACTATGTTATTTAGAAAAAGGTTGTGTGATGACTGAAATGATGCAATTGTTAAGGAAATCTCTAAATGCTAATCAAATCTAAATCAAATCTACAAATTTGACATGAAACAGATAAAAAAGATGAATCATCCTTAGTGTCAGCAGATGCAGTATGCTAGATGTTCAGTCTAATCCTGAACAGAGTAATTAAATCTTAAGGATCACTCAAAGAGTGGTCCGTGTTAGCAGCTCGGCATGATTTCCATATGCTGTGTGCTGGACACACAACAGCACTGAAGACAGAGAAAGAGCCTGTTGAGCTGCGCTGGCTGTGCGGTGTGTGTGACAGGTGCCAGGTGGCAGAACTGAACAGCGCCAACATGTGCTGCTGCCATTCAGCAATCTGTTCCACAGCACTGCCTGGAGACATATGGCTAATGAAAGACACTCGCTCTTTCTCTTTCTCTTTCAATCTGAATGGCTTTCGCAAAAGCCACAAAGCCTAAAGTCAGTTGACTTGTGGACAAGAAGAATAAGTTTTACTATCAGATGGGCAAAATGAATAGCTGAATTCATGGGAAAAAGAAATATGACCGTTTGTATTTTAATATGCAAATTTCTAAAGAATTATTTGTATGTGTTCCAAAGAGCTGATATAGTTTCTCGATTACCCAAATAATAGTGGCAAAGTAAAAAACAAAATGAACTGTTATTATCTTCGCATTGGCAGTGTTTATTCTGAATAATTTAAATCCTTTTATTTCTTGTATAATTTTGTGATCAAATATGAAATTGCAACAATAGTAAATAACAATACAGGTTTAAATCAAATCAAACAGTAGCTGTCAGTCAATTTAATGCACATTTTGACAGATTACAAAAGTAAAAAAAGGGATGGAAATAACAAATTTCAGAAAACAAATCCCTTAAATTAAAAACGTTTACATGCTCGTCTGAGGTGGTGTTTGACTTGCGTAAAAAAAGGGTCAATACAAATAATAGTAAAGGTAAATTAGCAGTTTTCCGTATT